AATGAAATATTTTACAATTAAATAAAGTTACTGTAATTCTGAACTTATCAATCGAAGGTTAACGTGATTCCGCATCCAACAAGCTAACTAACTAATTGTTTATTAACAATCTACTTTTCCAAAATACTTCATATAGAACTCGTTGGATGCGGAATTATACGTTAACTTTCAATTAGTAAGTTCAGAATTACGGTAACTTCATTTGTTTGTAAAATATTTCATTTTGTATTAACATTAATTAATTGATTGATTAATATCTCGAAAACAAAAAAAACGACATTTTCTTTAATTTATTTATTAAAAGCATACATTTTATGCTTCATTTTTAGGGGTAAAAAAAAGAAAAAAACTGTCCTTTATTAAAAAAAGTCAAAATTATTTTTGATTTTAAAAAAGGGATAAATTTTGAATTTAAAAAAAATCTTGCACCATTCGAAAGAGCAGGAAAAAACCTTTCGAAATCTTATAGGTCAAAATTTTTTTCATCCTTTCATACAATAGTTATGATTTTTCAAAAAATGCAATTGGATCACTTCAGGAGTTTGTTGCTTCTAGAAGAAGAAAAAATTGAATTCGTACAAAGTAATATTTTTTTTACTAACGATACCAAACGGTTTTCCCAGTGATGTTGCGTAAAAATTTAATAGCTCAATAAGTCTCTAAATAGTAAATACTAATTCAAATTTTTTTTTTGATTTGGTTCCTTATTTCCATTAACTGATTCTATATTGTTTTTAGTGTGAAAAATCTATTTGTATAGTTTTTTGCTTATATTTTTAAAATTAAATTAAAAAAATATTTTATATAAACAAAATTTTTTAATGGTTATAAGATAGTTTTAGTCGATAAATTTTTGTACATTTATTGAATTAACAATAATAGTATATTATGTGGCAAGCACGTAAAGTAGTACTTTTTAGGTGAGGATGTAATTTTCAGTACGAGCTGTCGTTAGTGCGACGTAGGTGAGACGAAGGCGAGCTGTAGGTGAGATGAAGACGAGCCGAAGGCGAGTCGAGTCGAGCCGAAAGCGAGCCGAGTCGAACCGAAGTCGCACAGACAGCGAGTATTGAAATCATCCGAACCTAAAAATTACTACGTGCGAGCCACATACGCTATTTTTTTCGCCATTGTTATGAAAAAGTGAAACAATTTTAAAGAAAAAAAATAATAAAAATTGATAAATAAAATAAAAGCAAAAAAAAAAATTATGCAAAAATTAACAACTGCCTAAAAAAGACTTTATAGGGCAGTTTACTGCCTAAAAAAGACTTTATACGGCAGTTTGCTGCCTAAAAAAGTCTTTTTTAGGCAGTTGGCCCAAACTGCCTTAAAAAGTGCTACTTTATCTGCCCAAAACAGGCACAAAAAAGACACTTTTTCATGTCAATGGCGAAAAAAAAATATTTTTAAACATTTCATTAAAACAACTTTAAACTTCTTGTATCTTATAAAGCAATCTTTAAAAAAATAATTTTCTTTTTTTAACAAATTGTGTTAAAATTTTTTTCTCATAATTTTTAAAAAATTTTTTTAGGTCTTAATAAGGTCCAAGATCTTGATTATTAAAAAGTGAGTGGGCCTACAATTTTTGACGGCAGTGTATACGTATCATACTATTAAATATATATACATATATATGCATACATACACGGAAGGATACTTTTTAAATTTTTCAAGAGAACTACTTAATTCTGTATACTATTAAAATTCGTTACTTAATTTAAGGTAATAATTATATTTTTATTCGGTTGGTCTCATGATTTTAAGATATGAATATTAAAGACATTTTGAGGCATTCCTTTAGTAAATTTTCGTCAGAGCACATTCTTGAATTTTTTTTTTCCCATCTTACATTGCTTTTAATTACTTTTTCAAAGAAAAACAATATACACTTACAGTTTTTTTTGATCCACAGTTTACTTTTGAATTCTTAACTTCAATGAAAGCATAAAAATATTATTAAAATACATGTATTTAATATAGTCGAATTATGTATGATTTAAAAAAATAGTTTTTAAAATTTTACTACAATTTAAATAGCAAATGATCATTAATAAAATTAAATTATTTTCCAGAAAAACAAAAATATTTAAAACGATTTTTAATATTATTTCACCATTTATATATATATATATAAAAATAATAAATTACAAATAATCATGTGTTTCAACCAATTTACATAAAAAAGGATCTGCTGACTTCACAAAGCTGATTGCTACAAAATAGTTGATTCTGGTATTCTTTTGATGTTATGTTATATGTGAGTTAGGGTGTGTTTCTGAATATATATACTTGCTAAGCTACTCATTTTCGAAAACAAAAAATGCAAAATACGAATGGATGATGGTCAGTAATTTTAAATATTTTTTTTTTATTTGTCTCTTGAAATTAAATATTTTTGTTATCTAATGTGTAATAATGTAATGGCAAAAAAAATGTCCCTGAGGTCAATAAATGTGAAAATGTAAATACAAATAGTATGGCAAAAAGTGAATACCAATTTAACAAAGATATTTCGATGAGAAAGAAATAGCAGTAATAATTTGTTTTAAAAATTGTTAATTCCTATTAATATTGTTTTTTTCGGTTCTACAATCAAAAACATCAAGTAGGATCAAATCAGACATAAAAAATTAAAGCTGTCTTCTAGTCCTTCAATTCAATAAAACGTGTAAAAATGTTAAAGGAATATAAGCAAATAAAATATGCTTAAAAGAGTTTTTCAAAAATTTTTGGATTTACAAGTTCTAATAATATATTGCCGAAAATGTTTTACCCCATTAAAAAAAATTATATCACTTGACAAGTTAAGTTTGCTCTAAGAACGTTCTGAAAATGTTTTTAGAATGTTTCATGTCAGCCAAAAAATGTTCTAAAACATTATTTGGACATCCATGTTCTTAAAATGTTTCAGAACATAATTTGGCAGAAATGAAACGTTCTTAAAACGTTTTTAAAATGAACATGGTTTTTTGCCCACTGGGAAGAAAAAATAATTAAAAATAAAAATAATAAAAAATTTAATAATAAATTTAATAATTTAATTTAATAATTAAAATATCTTCACGGGTTCCCGGTCACATTTATGTCTAAAATTAGGCGATTTGTTGAATTTCCATTATTTTTGGCACATAAACATGTTCGAATGTTTGAAGTGATATCTCGGGAACCAGATAAGATTTTTGAACTTTCTTGGATTTAAATTTAAGATAATGTTTCAGTAATTGTCCATTGAAACCAATTTTTTCTATAATTTGTTTAGATTATGATATTAGCCAAACATATTGTTCAAAAATCAGGAATTTTTTTGTAAACTTTTTAAGTGATATCATTTTTTTAAGGCTATAAAAGTTTTAGCCGTATAACATTAGAATTAGATGAAGAGTTTAATTAGTTTTTCAATAGATTTTGTTTTAACTTTTTAACTTACATATTGAATGAGTTATCAAGGTTTGAAGACTCGTATGTTTTTAAATAGTACTGTAAATTACAAGATAGGTTCAAAAACAAAGATACAGTGTATGGACACGATGGTCAGTAAGCCGAAAAAAGTTTGGGTACGATACCCAGTGTGCACGGTCTAGAACTGTTCTATAACAAAAAGGTAACAGTGTTCTAGAACAGTTGTTATCATTTTGTTATAGAACAATTCTAGAACTGTGTTATAGATTTGTTCTGTAACATTTGTTCTGTATCTGTTCTGTAATGCAATGTTCTAGAACATTAGTTCTAGATTTGTTCTAGAATTGTGCCATAGCATGGTTCCTGCTTTGTTATAGAACAGTTCCATTGCGAATGTTCTAGAAGAGTTTTATAAAATAAAAGTAACATTGTTTAAGAACAATTGTTTTTTGGTATGTAAAAAATGTTGCATGCGAATAATTAAAATGATTATAGTAATGCTCCGAATTAGATTGTATGAATTATACATAAGTTTATACATAAGTTTTTCATTACTTTTAAAAATTGTTTTTCAAATTTATATTTAAATTTATTATTTGTAAAAGATCAAAAATAATTTTTAATGTGTGTTAGAACTGATTTGAGGATTAACAGTGAATAAATGTCGACTTTTATGTAAATGTATAACAAATGTTTTTCTTATTTTATTCAAGCAAAAAGATCATTTTAAACAAAATTTTGTTTTGTAATTATTCTGGATTTCTTCTAGAACAATGTTCTAGAACACTGTTCTAGAACTGTTCCTTCAGGGGGACAACATTTTTAGTAACCAGTTAGTAACAAGTTCTAGAACCTGTTCTTTTTTGTTCTAGAACTGTTACAGAATTGTTCTGTATCCTTGCACACTGGGTAACGACGGAATCAAAAAACATAGAGTTTAGATCTCCAGAAATCTGAAAATCATAATAACAAAATCATAGGATTTCATGTTTATGAAATATTTGTAATTTTTTAATTCTTGATGAATGATAATTTTTCCTATGTCGCATATCATAATAATCTTTTCATATAAATCCTGATCAAACGATGTGAACTTCCTCAATTATTTAATACATTATCTTTGTTTAAAAAAAAAAACTTGCACTCATTTGTTTTATAACCTGTTAAAAATATTATAACCTATTATACAATATAAAGAAAAGAAAATATTCTTGAAAATAGAGGAAAATTTTTGCGAAAATCCTCTTGAAGGATATGTTTTTTAAAAATGAATGCAAAATCGGCAATTAGCGTTGGATTTGTACTCATCCACATTTTCAAAATCCTTTTAGAACCCTACTTGCCGATATTGCATTCATTTTTGTTGAATCTATTCTGATTCCGTCGTTATCGTACCTAAACTTTTTTCGGGTTCTTGACCACCATGCGGAATAAGAAAAAGTTTCTAATTGTAAAATATAATTTACAAAAATATGTCAAAATTTTTAACTTCTTCTTTAAACACCAGTGTAATATTGTTTAAGGTTATAATTTTCGCCATTTTAAAAAAACTGGTACATATACCTTAAAGTTGATGTCGAAATAAAGGATGCATATAAAAATATTATTTTCTAGAACTTTATTAATACATAACCTTTTTTAAGATGAGGTTAACCAGCTGTTGCAAGTAGATGGCACACACATATAATTTAAAGTTTGAAATCGACATATTAATAAGGCGAACATATTTAATATACAACTAAAATCTTTTTTCTAAATGATTTAAAGATATTAGTTTTTATTTATTTTATTATTTATTAAATTCATTAAATTAGTTATCAATAATTGAAATATTACGCAATTTTATGTTATATTTGCGATTACTCTAATGCTACATGATAAAAATTAAAAAAAATGTTATACACTCAAGTTAAACAATAATACACCTCTTGAATAGCTACTACAGAAAACATTAAAAATAGATATCATTTATTAAGTACTTTTTCGAGAAGTTATTAAACTTTTGAGTTACTTATTAAATAAAAATTTTAATTTTTTAAATTATCTGTAGTATTTTATAAGTAGAAGCATTATTTTTAACATACTTATGTACTTATGGATTTATGAATTTTTGAATGGTATCAATCATGTAATTACAAATTTAGATTAAAAAAGTGCGTAAAAATTCATATATTAATAACTAATAAAAATATTTAAAAACGTGATTAAGATGTGGTTTTTAGTTCACCTTGTAGTCAAAATGTATGTAAATGAATATTTTAATTCAAAGGTTCATATTAAAGTATCCCAGTTCTGAAATTTTGACTCTGTATTGATTTGTAATTGACGATTTAATTTTAACTCTTGTACTAAGCATTTAGTACTTTCTATTTAGATATTATGTGTTTTGAAATTGGTCCAGAGAATTTTAAACTAAATTATTATTCTACTTCGTTTATATTTTTATTATTGTTTTAAACATTATAATTGACCATTATTAACGCTTTGAATGGGACAGTAAAATATTTTTATTTTTCATTGAAGAAACTGTTGGTTTGAATCCTTAATCTATAATATAGGTTCTTTTTTATTTCTCGATTAAAATTCGAGAATGAATTTAAAGATTTGATGGAAGCGCGGTTTTTTATTTAGTACTATTAGCAAAGTATCAATTTTCGCTTTTGTTCCCCAAGTTCTCAACTCCTCGCAGATACGTTTCATTGTTCCCATAATTGCTGTTGTCTTCATATATGTCATATATACAATTGAAGACACAAGAAATATATCTGATAAAGAATTATAAGATCGTTACCAAAGTGCCTTCAGAATAAGAAATCATGTAATTATTAAAATGGTTCAAAAATTTCATTTAAATTTAAACTATTTTCATGAAAAGATACTTTTTTCTGATGAAAGAAATGTTTTTAAATAAGTAACACATTTCTAAGTATAGATAAATTTACATATTTATTACAGTTAATGTGATAGAAATAATTTACAAGTTATGTAATAGTTTTCTGTGTCAGAAATATTGTTAAAATTTTTGTATTTTAAAAAGACAGAGAAATTTCTTCCCAACTCATTAAATTTATATATGTATGTAAATAACAGTAAGTTTTTAATGGAACTCTTTCTGCAATAATGAGTTATGTTTTTTTACATTTTTTAAGTTAGTAAAATATAGTGTGAAGCTAATCTTAATTGGTCTTTAGTAGTTTAAGAAGATATTAAATTTTTTAAGATTGATGAATTTTTTAATTAAGATCATAATGAAAATGTAAAAATGTGCTTTTCTTTATATTCCTATTTTCTTTAAAAAACAAAATATTTAGAATTTATAAATTATATTTTTGGACCATTTTAATTGGGATGAATTTGATCTTATGTATTATAATATTTGATAAAAAATAGATAATCAGCCTCATAAGTTTCTTGACTTCTTTGAATCGTATTAGAAGTAAGGTTGGATACATTTAAGAGACTGTTCGATACAATATAATCGACATTTCTTGAAATTAAGAAGTTCATTAATTAATATCTCACACACACACACACACGTTCGGACTGGTAAAAATGAAGCACAATCTTAAGTTAGTTTCAGTTTTGCCGAGGTACTTGATAATCCCATATATTGAAGACGTCTGTGGATCCCCCGTGAATCAATTTAATGAAAACAAAAGTTTTCCAGTCAGACAAGAAGTTCCTTAGGGAAGTCCTCGGCAAGCAAGTCCTACAAGCATTCGTCCACAGTGTTGTCAGCTTCATCTGGAGGGCTGGGTTCACTAATGCTGAGAATCGGTAAACCGAAATGTTGAGTTTCGCTGTGAGCTTCTATAGACGTTGAGCGCCTTGAATAATCGCAGCTTCTTGAATGTGTTTCTATTCGACGATGATGATGATGATGATGATGAATGTGGTGACGTGGCAACCGGATGAAATCAGGTTCACAGGATCGCCTGAAACATCTAAACAAGTCTTATTAGAAATTTTGACCTGACACGTAGAAAAACTGATGTTCAACGTCCATTGAATATTATTATATTTAGTCTACTCTCTTAATTTGAATCAGTGAAATTTCACTGGTGAAATAGCTAGAAGTCGGTTACTGAATCATTTAGTGAAATTTTCACTGAAAATCAGTCATATATCACTGATTTCTAGTGAAAATTTCACTAAATGAATCAGTCAATCTGTATTATCGGTAATGGGTAAAACAGATTGACTGATTCATTTAGTGAAATTTTCACTGGAAATCAGTGATATATGACTGATTTTCAGTGAAAATTTCACTAAATGATTCAGTAACCGACTTCTAGCTATTTCACCAGTGAAATTTCACTGATTCAAATTAAGAGAGTAATCACGTAAATTTAAGAGAGTTTTTATCATTAGAAATTGTTTAACAGGCATCAATATTTTGACATTGAACATACGCTTTTATTCGTGCAAAATATGTATTTTTTATTTCAGAACAACACATTTCAGAAATATTGTCTTAATATTATCTGATGCATTATTAAGTCAATCTTAACCACTATATTAGCCATATTTTATTATTTACGTGATGCAATAGTTCCTCAACACTAAGGTCACAAAGCATTTTAATATTGACATAATTTTGAAATGCAATATTCTGATCCTTGCACGGAATTATGGAGGCAACATTGTTGCAATTTGCAATATGATGTGCTATTTGGGAGCATTTCATAGAATATTTTTAAAAAATCACTTACGTACAAGGATTCTACGGAATTGCTCTATAGAATTGTTCTACAGGAGGTTCCACAAAAATTTCTACAAGAGTTTACATAATAAGAGTATCTACAATAAATTTCATAGAAATTAAGAAAATAATAATTATTATCTATTAAATATTTAACTTTTTAAAGTCTAGTTACACAATAATAGTTACCCTACCAGCAAATGATATTACTGGTTATTCTATGGACATCCTATTCGTATCCGGAAATTAGGATATTTCTAGGACGTCCGTAGAATATTCTAAATATCCTTAGGGTATTTATTTTTACTTAATAAAAGTCTCATTTATTAACGCACAAATTATTTAGTTTTTCTATATTTAATTTAATGAATTCTAATTTTTGTAAATTAATCTTAACTTGTATGTAAAATTTGAATTTCTAATAATTTTTCTAAATTTGATGTAATTTTTTGTAGAAAAAATTGTGGAAATTATTGTCAAATCTTCTGTAGAAATAGAATTTCTATAGAATCCTTCCACGTGGGAGCATACATTTTAAAACAAATTATTATTTACATATAGTCTTTAAATTTGAATTTCGGAATATATAATAAAAACAATAGGTATGTCTATTCTTCTTTTTCTTTTAAAGCGATCAAAATTTTAATCCAATAGTATAAAGTAATGCCCCCACTTGAAATTTCATCTAAATTTATTAAATTTTTAAAATTTTTAGCGAATAAATTTTTTCTGTGTATATTTTACAAATATGTGATTGATGATTAATCAATTTCTATTCCCTTCTTTAGATGAAAGGTTGGGTGCCCTCGAAAGTGGAAACTTCAAATCTGGATGGATATAAGTGCATTAATATATTTGCTATATACAGCAAAACGAATATTATTCGTTTTGGGATAGGGGGATGCTTAAAACTATGGTTCATGACATATTTTTTTTAAATGGGATGTTTTTGAGAAGCTGTAGCTTGTCCCATAATAAGGTTGGAATAGAATGTAATTGAAAATTTCAATACCATTGAATCTTCTTAACCATCTTAATTTCAATATAATCCTTAATTCCTCTGTCTACTCAGCAAAACGCGAAATCAAATTCCCTTTAATTCCGGCTACTCGATTTTCAAACATTATTCTATTTTATAATGTTTAAATAATTGACATTTTAATATTATACTTGTTTTCCATTTTTAATGAAGTAAAATTAAAAAATTATATCAGTTTTATATCTTCCATTGTTTACGAGATAAACTTTATTTTTTTAAAATGTAAGTATGTATTTTTTAATAAATTTTATATATAAAATTTTTGCTTTTCCATTACAATTGCTATACATATATTGACTTATATGTAATTCAAGTCTTCTTATTAATGAGTTCTAATAAATTTTAAAAATTCGTTCACTATTTTTTGAATACCTCATATTGATTTTGAAAAATTTAGTTTTAATTTCATAATTAGTGACCCCTAGATATCAAGTTCCATCAAAACTAATAATTTTTAAAAAATTCGTCCGCCATATTGTATTAGAAATTTTTAATTTTTAAAATTTGATTGCAGATTTAGAATATCAAGTTTCACGCAAATTTCATCTCATCAGAATATATAAGAAAAAGTTATTCTGTTCTGATGCTCAAGATAGTTTTCTTGTGGGTCAGTGTTACAACTTTTGAGAACAAGATAAATGATAGTATAAGTGCGTATCTTTCTGGGGCGTTTAGGAATTTACGTTAGTACTGCATAAAACCTATAATAGTTTGCGTTCTTTTTGAAAACGTCATAAAAGATACACGTAGTTTCTCCTCTCCTCTTGAAAGTTAAGCGACTTCCAAACTATCTCAAACAAATAAGTATGTTCGACTTCAGGTGAACGATATGAGGTTTTCAAGCATATATGAGTATTAATTAAAGAGAGAAAGATTCAAGAGAAGATTCAATATGTCTTGCGTGAGTTTGTAAAAAGAATATATCAGATCAAGGCACTATGAGAAATTTGACTCTATTTTCTGGCCAAAACCTAGTTTTTAATGTTGTTCAAAATAAAAAAATTCTCTTATGTCCAGAAAAACCATATTCTAATGATAAAACTATACATATTCAATATTTATTAAAAGTTATTTATAATAAGTAAATTTGTTGTCAAAAACAGTCTTCAGTTAACCTATAATCTGTACTGAGCACCTCGTAATTTTTAATCTTTTTCAAAAATTTATAAATAAGAAAAGAAAGAAGGAAATTAAATAACATGGAATGGAAAGAACAAAGTAAGTTAATTATGTATAATCCTGCACTGAGAAAATGTTTTGTATAAATTTTACTCAAAAAGTTGGGTAAAATGGCTACACATGCACTTTTGAACAAAGTTTCACCAACTGTAGTTCAAAATAAATTTTTAGTAGGTGAAAATAATATTGATGTAGGTACAAGATCTTGTACCTATAAGAAAATACACAAAAAATGTACAATTTCAGCAGGTGAACTTGTACCAAAATTTAGAACAAGTTCTTGTATCAGACCTTGCACAAGAAAATATATATTTAATATTTGTATACAAGAAAATGTATGTATGTTCTCGTACATATTCTTGGGATAAAATTCCTGTAGCGTACTAAGTGAAAAAAAGTTGGTCGGATCGGACTATAACTTCCCAGTAAAAAAAATATTTGGGAGTAAACGAAAAGAATTGGCGGTGACTAAACTTAAGCTGAATTCGATTTCGCGTCTAAACCGAATTGGAACGTTACGGTGAATTCTTATTTTCTTACCTTGAATTCTTTTCACCTGAATCGATTGAATTTACGTTTATTGATTCGAGTTGGTATTATAAATGAAAGAAGTGATTGTTTTCTAAGTGTTAAAATGACGATTACGAACAGGAAATATATATAGATATAAATTTGACAGGCAGGCTGTATAGTGTTGATCTATTCACGCTGAGAGCGTTGTAAGCATAAGTGCATCTTTTTAGAAAAAAAGGGAGAAAGAGTTAACTTATTCACACAGCGCCCTCAGCGCGAACCTCAAAATCATAATTCATAATATGATCAAGTCATAGATCAACACAATGCTTCTATCTGTCAAATCTATCATTTTCACAATTTAACAAAATTTCATATTTCCTGTTCGCAATCGGAATTTTTACACTTAAGAACAAAATTCCGGTGACAAATTTGTACATTTTCTTTATACCAGAACTAGTACAAGTTCAGCAGATGAACATGTACATTTTCTTGTACAAGAAATTTTTTTTAGATATGTACCTCATTTAATATTTGGATTTGTACGATGCTTGGAAGAAAAAGAAAGAAAAAATAATATATCAACAGCAATTTAACAATTTCAATTCTCGTTAAATTGCATATGAATTTTGATGTTAACTTAAATGTTATATATTTTCAATGATAAAATTCAACTTCAAGAAATAAATAAAAATTTTTACATTTGAAAACAATAAATAATAAATTGGAAATTTTTATTTGTATTATATTTCAAAACAAATTCACAATCTGACAATACATTTTTAAATTTCAATAATAATCTTACGTTATAATTGCATTCAGGGACTCCAGAGCACGCAACATACTTAGTTGCATGAAAATCAAATAGTTTTTTCAAATTCGTAATTAGCTATTGCAAAAATCTTTATGCAACAACTTTTATCTTTTTTTAAATATATTTTAAGGTTTGGACAGAAAATAGACTTAAATTTTCCATAGTAACAAGGACATAAAATAAAAGCTTATTTATTGTTAGGACAGAGATTTAAAGAGGGTTTAAATTTGGTTTGAAGTAGAATATATTTTGAAAATGTTCTGTTAGCTTTCGTGAAAGTCATTTTGGTATTTTTAGGCAGATTCACGTCAAGTTCCTTTCTTTCCAGGAAAAGTGTTTGGTGCTTTGCCAAACTCAACCTTCATATCTTCCGCGTTGCACGGGTGAACTAAATTCGCAGAATAGACTATTTAATCAGTTTTAAGTTTCATTAGACTTTCGTTTACAGTCTCATAGAGACAAAAATATATTCGTTCTCGAGTCTTACGAATTAAGTAAGTATATATATATATTATATATATATATAAGCATCTTATTCTTTATAAATATTTAATAAGATCTTATAAACTTGCGTCCAAAAGATTCAATTCCATATATACATGTTTTTACCTCTCGAAAACATATATAAATATAATAGTGAACGTTTCAAGTTTAATATAAGCAATTTTAATTTATCAACGAATTTAGTGATTTATAA